GGTATGTTGGCCTACAACACAAAGTAGGTCCCGCCTCAACCCAACCCCAGTCAACAACCATGTGCACATAATCATACAATCATATAACAATTCACATTCAATTAAACCGATCTAGCAGATCACGTATCATAACATACTCTAAACAGGATACCGACCTAACAGGTCACTAGCATATACCATCCTAATACCCGGATGTAAACATAACAAGGCAACAACATAACAACGATACCCGGATTACAATCCGATAAAGGGTCGGCCTTGGTGCCTTAGACCTTATTGATATAGTGAGGATAACTCACCTCGCGATTGCTGAAACTCTGAACTAAAGAAGCAGATTCCCGAATCACCGACTCACCGAAAAATCCCGAACTAGCCATCATAACAAAATAATCATTAGTCCAAACATACATCCACTTATTGGGCCAAGGCCAAAGTCCAAATCTCTTACAAGCCCAATATTGGCCCAATTTACTAAATTGGGCCCTCTTCACCAAATGGGCCTAGATCCAAGGTCCATATTAATAATTGGGCCCAAAGTACTCTATCCATAATGTCCAGTCATGGCCCACAAATCCAACAGCCCAATAACAACCCAAACTCTAAGGCCCAAAAATGAAAATCCAATAGGGGGAGTACGTTGGGCGTACCCTCTCTGGTACGCTGGGCGTACAACATTGATTCGCAAAGGGGATCGGGGCACTTACTCTCTACGCGGGGCGTAACCTTGTGGGTCAACAAATTCATACAACTGCTTAATGGCTTAAGCTCTTAAGCCCAAACTTCAGATCCTTAGGCCAAATATGCCTAGGATCCATAAAGTCTTGAAATTTATCACCTAGGACGTCCATAAAGCTCTTAATCTATGGTCTTAATCCATTAAGACCTACTTATCTCACACATGGAACAACCATAGCCCTTGGGACCTCATTTTTCTCACTCAAGACCTCTCCTAAGGTCTGAAAGGACAAATAATCTTGATCAACTCGAAACATGCAACAAGATGAGGACTTTTGGGACAAGGATGATGTCAAAGCTTCACAATACATAGATCTACACAATATGAATGTCAAGCAAGAAGCTTTATACCTCAAATAGGCTCCAAAGGATGATGTCTTTCCAGATCTATAAGCTCCAATCATTCCTCTCCTTCTTTGACAACTTCTCCTTTCTTCTTCTAGCTTTTCTTTTGCCAAAATAAGCTTTCCAAGACCAAACACACCCAACAATGGAGGTGGGACGGCTATCTAGGGTTCCTGAGGTTAAGAGAGTGTCTACGGAGGCTTAGGAGGGAACCATTATGTTCCTTATATAGTGGTTGCCCTTAAAATTAGGGTTTAGGGATTCTGAGAGTACGCTAGGCGTACCTCTAGTACGTTGAGCGTACTCAACCTTTCCCCCCGCGTTTCTTTCCCTCACTACGCTGGGCGTACGTCCAACTTACGTTGGGCGTACCCAGCCAACCTAAGTACGCATGCATGGCTTGCATGGGGCCCTTTTCCACTTTTTCCATTAAGAGCTATAATCAATATCATCTTCAAAACGCCGCAACTCCTCTACTCTAAACCCGCTCCCGATAAACTTTACATTCACATGAGGGTGGAGAGAAGCCCTATGCTTCTATGAACCCACACACCAGTCCAAACCTTCTCGGATAAAACCCATTTCCCGCAAAAGGACCAAAATTACCCTTCCTCTTAAATCTTAGGGACTCATAATTAAATACTTTGAGAACGGGGTGTTACATGTTATTAATGCTAACTATGAAAAAATAGCTTCATACACTAATTTGTTATGTAAATTGAAATAATTTTGATCCATATTATGATGTTTATTAAAATCATATCATTTAATAGCAACTACTCGCAGCTAAGGTGTAAATAAAACTAATATAATTCTCGATTTAATGTTACTTTTAATGTTATGATTAACTAATTTAGAAATTACTTATTTCGTTTTTTTTTTTTTTTTGTATGGTAACGTAATATAATTTATAAGATTATGTTATTTTTGACTACTGTTAATTGATTTAAAAATCATTTATTTGGAAAGTTTTTAATTATTATAAAAAATTAGTTTTGGTATTTTTAGTTCATGTAAATTTATTTATATATTTAAAACATTTAAATGTATTAAACTATTTACAAAATTAATCTTTGAATGGATTTAAGTTTATTTAATATTTTTATTTCAGTTATTGTAAAGAATTAGTTTTCGATATTTTTAGTTAATTTGACATGCCAATTGAATTTTATATTTAACACAACAAAGTTTTAACAATATTAAAAAAAATTATCTTTAAATAATTTTAAGTTTATTTGATATTTTTATTTATATTTTAGATTTAACATGATATTTAAATTAACATTTTAAGTATATTATATTGATAATTCAAAAAAATTCTCATTAATAGGATGATATTTCACATTTAATAATACATGTAAATTAATAAAATTGATATATTAGAATGAAATATGAAGAATTAGGGGTTTTAAATGCATGTGGCTAAAGGAAAAAATGTTTTATATATATATATATATATATATATATATATATATATATATATATATATATATATATATATATATATATATAGAGAGAGAGAGAGAGAGAGAGAGAGACATACGAACTAGAATTACCCCTAGAAGCAACCTGATTATTATTGTTGTTTTTATACAATTTACTTTTAGATTTTCTGGAATTAATCAATGTCGAGTAAAAAAGCTAAATTGAATGTAATTGAGCTATCAAGGACAACATGTGTGGACTCTTCACGTGCTTCATGGAGAAGCAACATGTTTTTGGCTTACAAAAACAACGGGAATGACTTTATATTGGTTATAACATCCATTATCCAATGATATAAGGGCGGTAGTTGTCATAGGATTTGCATGACAATTTCAACTTTAATAATTTCATAATCGACATCTGATAAAGCATCATTAAGATTCTTCAAGATATGGCAAAACTATATGATAGAGGAGGCACCCATTTTCATGTTTCTGAATTGATCTTGCAACTGGAGCATGAAAAGACATTTTAATGTTGAAAAAAAAAATTTAATATGATTTGAAGAAGGTTTGGATCAAATAGTCGAATAAAACCAAGACTTAACTCGTGAATCAATTGAGTACCAATATTCATCATCATCATCACCCTTTGGTTGAGATTTCCTAGTAATATGACCCTCAACATTGGAGCCTTTGCAAATGTTAGTAAATATGCACCGCCAAAGTTTGTATTTAGATCCATCCATAGTCAGTTTAAAACCGAACTAATTATACACATTAGTAATCGTATAGACAGGAGTTTGAGCAATCAGTATTGTGTTGGAGGATGATAACAGGTTTGACATGATTCCAGAAAATATAAAAAATACTTGTAATAAAAAAAAGAACGAAATAACAATAGAAAGCTTATTGTAGGTAGAATGATTATGGTTGTACTGAATACCAATCCCCATAATGGAGTGATAAGGAAGACACTCTGCAGCAATCGCTATTGTGGAGGCGAAAGTTGGGGTTAACATCGACTTGCGATCAGCATCAGGGAGAAGATATCCCAACAACAGTCAATTGACTAAGACAAGTAGCAATAGAGTATAAGACACATAAACAATCCGAAAAATAGGTTATGAAGCGAAGCTAAAAAACTCGAGCGGAGCCAAGGAACCACAATGGGTGGTGATGATGACGAAGGTCCAATATGTAGGTAGTGTGATCATGAACCATTGGCAACAAACAAGAGGTCAGAAAAAATTGTACGATCGAGAAAAATACATAAAATTAGCTTTATACCATGTTGAATTATGAAAATACATGTTTGGTTTCTATATATCCGTTGTTTTAAACAGTACATGATGTGTATACAATATTTATAATAAGGACCATACACTATAAAAGAATATAACAGTAAATCATAAACTAACAGTTATAATTAAGTTTTAATATGTATATAAAATCGTTTATTTTTTTTTATTTTTTTATCATGTTACACCATTGTATGCTTTCACACATTAACAAATTTTTAGCTTTAAGGATTTAATCATTCGAGACATTTATCCGTAAAATGTTTTGTTTAAATGATATTGTTTTACAAAATAATATAAAACTTTTACTTAAAGAAAAAAAAACATTCAAATAGTATACGAATGGTGCTTCATTTATTTGGCATTTAAATTCCTCGAGACACTTTATTCTTCTATGCATTATGTTGAGTCCTACATCTACATATGAGGAAGAGGTGCACACTTATTTATTTCATACCTATACCGTTCATTATGGACCAATTTTGTAGTGAGAACACATAAGGCTATCTAGCACTACAACGAGTTGGTTTATTATTATTATTATTATTATTATTATTATTATTATTATTATTATTATTATTATAATAGAACGGTTTAAACTCTTATACCATTCTACTGTTAAATTAGAAATTTTCATCTTCGAATTTGAGCTCTTAATATTTGGCCGAAAAACATCTCTTTCGTAAAATCGCTTTGAACTAAAATAACATGAGATTTTGGATGTAGCATATGTTACCACGATTCCATTTTGATACCCGTTTATTTCTTCACATTTTCTTTTACATTATTCGAAACATCAACCAATTAGTGTCACACAGCCTTAACGAAAGGTTATTGTTGATGCTCATAACTCATAACTCATAACACTGCGACTTTTTCTAGAAAACAGATTTAAATAGTGTTATGTGTTTAATATTATTTTTTCAACTAAAGAGTCTTTAAATAGTATCAGGCGCTGGTATCACGCGCATGCATTTTTTTTAATTTTTTTATTAAAAGAGTATTAAACATAATATAAAATTAATACTATATAAATATACTAAATTATGCCTCAAATTCGGGGTACACAAAATTTGCATATACAAAATTAAACTCATTTTTATACTACACTTTGAAACGAATTTACCATACTACCCATGCCTTCCTATACATTAACACTTAAACCAAAAACATTAACAAAATATACAATATTTAATTAATAACTTTCTCGAAAGTCAACGAGAAAATCATCAATGTTAAAGTCGCCGAACTCCTCCCCGCAGTAATTCTCCGACACCAAAAAATCCGGCAAATCAAACGGCATATCGATACCAAATCCAAGAGACTCCATGTCCAAGCAGTCAAGCCTGTCAAACGGCGTTTGCTCGGCGTTCCCCCGGAGCACGGACGTCGGTGACATAGCGGTGTTGTTCAACACTCCTTCGCTGCCGCTACTACTGGTGGTGGTCGTCGTCGTCGTTAAGCTTGGTTTATCGACGGTAACGGTTTTTGTAACGGTGACACGAGGAAAGTTCGTAACGGCGGAGGGACCTTTCAATCTAACGGCAGCATCGTCGTACACCGCCGCAGCTTCTTCAGGTGAATCAAACGTCCCAAGCCAAACTCGTTTCCTCCTATTCGGATCACGTATCTCCGCTGCCCATCGGCCCCACGGCCTCCGACGAACACCTCTGAACTTCTTCTCTGTAGATCCGCTACTCCTTTTATTGAATTTCAGAGACGGCGTGCTAAATTCGATTACAGAAACGTGCTTCTTCACTCTCTTAACGACTCGTTCTTCGTCTTCGCTGGAGGAATCGGTAGCATAGGGATCAGTTAGCGTGATTCTAACGATTCTCTGCTTAATCGACGACGCCGGAGGGTCTCTGTGAAGCAATTTACTCGTTGTTACAACGTGCTCCGAGAATTTCACAGCCGATCGTACGGACATCGTACGATCGACCTCCATATCAGATCTTTTGTCGAAATTGATCAAGTCAGTACTTGATAGAGCTCTGATCTTGTTCCTACAAAGTCGATCCACAATATTGGGAAGAAGAATCAAGGGTGTCAACGCCGATGTAAACTGGTTTTTTGGCGGGAAAGTTTCCCTCCAATTCCTTCTAGAGGGGTGGAAGAAGGAAGTGATCGAGGGTGCAAGATTGTCTGTGTATATAAAGGAGAGAAGCAGGTCTGAAGAAAAGACTCCACTCCACTACCATCCAAGCACACACCACACATTTTCCACACTGTGAATAGTTTCATTTTGGTCCCTACACTATCACTTTTTCTTCTTTCGGTCCTACATTAACTTTATTCAAAGTTAACCTTGATGTCTTTTGCATTAAATCACAATCAAATCCTAACATAATGTATTTTCTGTCATTTCGATATTAGCTAGAATGTCACTGAACACGTGATTTAATTGATGTATAGTGGTGTAGGTGAACATAACAAACAATAAGCACAAATAAGAGCTTGTTTATGTAACAAATAAGAGTTTGTTTATGTTTAACTAACAAATTAATGAATATGAACATATTTTTTGTTCGTATTTGCTGGTTTAAAAACACCAAAAGTTGAGACTAAAAGTGTATATACTTACCTTTAGATAAAAAAAAATATATTCTAATTAAACAACCTAAGTTTATGTTAAGGGTTCAAAAAACCAAAACTTGAGACTAAAAGTGTATATATATTTGTAATTATCTATAAATATATAAAGATAATAAATAAAGTGTTATTGTGAATGAACAACCTAAGTTGCATGTTGATTTATATTTTCCACTTTGAGCATTGGTGTTATACGAATTATCACTCTATTGTATGGGTGGGCATTTGGACCTCTGAACCGGAAACTGGATCTGGACTGAACTTGGATCAGCCTCAACAGGTCCGTTCAAGATCCACAAATTTTTGCAAAACCGATCCGATCCAATATTCGGTCTTGCTCGGTCCAAATACCCATCCCTACAATCGTAATTGAGAAACTAATATTCGGTAGGTGTTAACGTGTTATACCGTATGCATCTAAAACTACATTGGTCCAACATGTACCTAAACCGAATCCACACCCAGAATTGAGCTAGATCAGCTTCAACCAGTCCGGTCTAAAGTCCATCAATTTCTGTCAAACCGATCTGATCCAAGAGCTGGTTTGGTCCGGATCGATTCAAATATTCACCTCGACTCTAGTGATGGCCTGGTGTGAGTGAAACATGAAACCATCAATGATATGTTATACAAAATTTACAAATATAGAATATAAAAGTACTAGTTAATCGTGCATTATTTTAGCAAAAGCCAAAAGTTAGGGGCCAAAGAAGTAATGTTTGAGAAATATATGGGCTACAATGGCCTATTTAGAGAAGATGCACAGTTTTGTAGTCGTGTCGGATGGAATACAGAGAGCGACGGGGCAGGTGGTGTTGGGAAATTCCAAGTTGTTTCCTCTGACCCGGTCAAAAGCTATTTTTGACTCATTGGCTCCATGTTACAAGTTATTATGCTAAATGTACAAACTCTACTTTGAAAAATCTTGTTTTAGATCTTCCTCAAAATCTAAGAAAAAAAAATCAAGGTCCGAGATTTTTTTATTCTTTTTCAGATTTATAGGATACACTTACAAAAAAAAAAAAAACCAAAAAAAACAAAAAAAAAAAAAAAAAAAAAAACCAAAAACACTTCAATATTTAAGCTCAAAAACCGAATTAGAATTTAGTATCGAGAAATATATTCAGTTAACGGATAAAGCTTAACACAAATGTCTTTTAAAATTGAAAACGACAACTAATGAACATGAACACAAACGGTTTCTTTCAAAGTTGAAAGTATTGTCGTTGGATTTTGGTTTTAGTGTAAAATTGAACCAAACCAATGATTGCTATCCCATACTATATATATATATGGTCTTTTGATGTAATGTAAAAATCTTTTACCAATTTGTTTTATAAATTTTTCATATTATTCTCTTAACTACGTCAAATGATCATATGTGTAATGATGATATGTGTTAGGGATAATGACTTAAGAGAGTAATAACGTTTTCTATTTGTCTATTACACCATTAAGGTTATTATAACCATTTAAAAATAGTCATTTTAATAGGAAGAAGTCGGTAAAATGATTATTTATAAACGGTTATAACAACCTTAATGGTGTAATATACACAAAAAATACGTTGGGGACCTAATATGGAGAAACGGGAAACATTATTACTCTCCTAAGTCATTATCCTATGAAACTATAAACCCCTATAATAAATTTTTACTTTTTAAATAAGAAACTTATAGGTTTTGCGGTTGGTAGTTTGGATGTTTTTAACCTCGGCTTTCTTTATAAATGGAAGTGGCAGTTTCTTAATGACAATGGAACTCTTCGGGTTAAAATTAGCAAATTTTGTCATAGGGAAGGTGGTTTTTTGGACGATTCGAGAATAGGAATTGGAGGGGGGTCTTTAGCAAAAGATTGTAGGATCCATTAATCACCTCCATGAGAATGTTTGTATTCCTTCTAATTACATGTATAGAGTGGTGGGGGATGAGACTCAAACGAGGTTCTAGAAGGATGTTTGGTGCTTGGATATTCCTCTTAAGGAGTGGTTCGGGAGGCTCTTTGCTTTGGCCTTTAATCAAGATGCTCGAGTAAGTGAATAATGGGATCGGGAGGGGGGGGGGATGTAATATTCACTTACTCAAGTATCTTGATTAAAGGCCAAAGCAAAGAGCCTCCCGAACTGCTCCCTAAGAGGAATATCCAAGCATCAAACATCCTTCTAGAACCTCATTTGAGTCTCACCCCCCCACCACTCTATACATGTAATTAGAAGGAATACAACCATTTTCATGGAGGTGATTAATGGATCCTACAATCTTTTGCCAAACACCCCCTCCAATTCCTATTCTCGAATCTTCCGAAAAACCACCACCTTCCCCATGACAAAATTTGACAATTTTAACCCGAAGAGCTCCCTTGTCATTAAGAAATCGCCACTTCCATTTATAAAGAAGGCCGAGGTTAAATACATCCAAACTACCAACCTCAAGACCTACAAGTTTCTTATTTAAAAAGTAAAAATTTACTATAGGGGTTTAGAGTTTCACGGGATAATGACTTTGGAGAGTAATAATGTAACGCCCGTAGATCCGGGCTAGTCAATTTAGAGGCAATAGGGGTCAAAAATAACTTTTCGACAAAAGATTATTTATAATAAATAATCTTAACCAAGTTGTAGAATATTTCACAAGGTTTCCGTACATATAAAGAACGCCGAAATCCGAGTTATAACGAAGAAGTTATGGCTCGTCGAAGTTTCGCGACGGAACCGGCACGGCACCGGGAAGCGTAAATAGTGAATTTACGATAGAGCGAGATTTATCCTTAGCAATATAAATGAAAGTCATAGAATATGTTAAACTAAGAGCGTCGATAAAAAGAACGCCCAAATCTGACTTCGTATGAGGAAGTTATGATTTTTCTAAGATTCGGCTTAGCAGTGCACGGCCCGAAACTCGAATTTTAGTTCGAGCGGTTATTGGCTTACGCAACCTAAATGAGAGTTGAAGATCTCATTAATAGGAACTCAACGGTAAAAAGACAGACGAAAACGGAGTCCGTATGAAGGAGTTATGAATTCTTCGCGGTCATTTAACAGTCTAGACGCCTCCTACTGTTAAATTTGAGATCAGTCGAGAATTAGCCGACGGAGTCTAAACAAAAGTTGTAGATCTTAATTTTACCTACGCGTAGATATAAAGAACGTCGAAAACGAAGCTCGTATGCGAAAGTTATGATTTTTCTAAGTTTGAAGGCTGATACGCGATAGGGGGTGACGTGGCACCACCAGAATTGGACACGTGGCACCACCAGAAGACCACCACATGGACCAACTCGGCGAGTAGGTCCCCCCTACTCGGCGAGTAGACCAGTCAGCACCCCTATAAATAGAGGTGTCGGGCATTCATTTCTCTTCACACCTCTCCAACATTCTTTCTCTCTCTAGTTTCTCTCTCTAGCCTCCCAAACCCTCCCTAAAGCCTAGGTAAACCCCCTAGCACCCGAAGGAAGCCCCAAGGCTCCCGGAGTCCCGAGAAAAAGGGTCTTTCGGCTTGGAAACGCTGCTCCAGCGAAGCCCGGTTTTGCGAAAAATCCGCTGTAAGTGAGCTACGCCTACGCTAGTTTTAATATAGCTTCTAATTAATTATAGTAACATTATTAGGACCTTAAAATAATTGTTTGGGATATTATTATGAGTTATATTGAGTGTTATTTAACGCTTATATAATAGCTATACTATTAATTAGTCGCGGTTATCGTTAGACTAAACCCTAGTGGTGTTGATACTAGGTTTTATCGAAGGAAATTGTGTTGAGAGTATCGAAGCGTTGTCCGAGTGTTGAGTAACCACCTATCAGGTGAGTGCATAGTCCCTTTCATCTTACACATAGATATGAAGTATTTTATATAAACTACGTGCTATGTGTGCATATTATCTGAATACTTGCTGTCTATGCTGGATGAACGTTTTATACATGTTTTAAAGGATTTAAACTGTATACGTATTTTATATATACGAATATGTTGGGTATGATGATGGGTAGATAAATGATGAGAGATAGAAGATGACGTGAGTATACATTGGCAGCTATAGACTTAGTGCCTATGGGACAAATACCGGTAGCTATGGACTTAGTACCTGTCAGACGTTGGTAGCTATGGATTTAGTACCTATTAGGAGTTGGTAGCTATGGACTTAGTACCTATTAGTTAGACACCGGTAGCTATGGATTTAGTACCTGTAGGAATTGGTAGCTATGGACTTAGTACCTGTTGAGCACTGGTAGCTATGGATTTAGTACTCGATGAGTAAGATATAGCAGCTATGGAATTAGTGCTTTACGAACGAACATTGGCAGCTATGGATTTAGTGTCAGTCCTATAACCCTGGAAGTAAGGGACTTCGGAATAAAC